CATCCAAGGAGCCTAGACATTCTCCCTGTGAACCCTCGGCTGCCCTAGACATGGGAATGAGGTCTTTCACCTGGCTCCCCCTCCCCCAGCTCCTGGGAAACGCCACCCCCTCCTGCCACCCTCCCCCCTAGCACTCTGCCCTCCATGGCCTGTCCCCCAAACTCTGGGTCCAGACACGGCTGTCCTGAGGCGGGTCTCCACGGACAGCACCCCCCTATCATCTAAACTCTTGCCCACTCTGCTCCGGGCACCACCGCCCTGGCCCCCAGCCAGGGATGCTGGGGCGCGCCCACAGCTGCAGTCCTCTCTGGTCACCCGCAGCGGGGCCTCAGCCCCCCATCCCGCACACGGCCCCCCGCCCACCCAGGGGCCGCCCCGCCCTCTCAGCAGTGCCCTCTCCTCCTCCTCGCCTCCCCAGCCGGCTGCCGCGCAGCCTCTTCGCTCCACAGCGGGGCTGCTCCCTGCCCCAGGAGACTGCCCTCCCTCTGCGCACCCCCCGGGCCCAGCTGGGTGCCCCTCCTCTGAGCCGCCCACAGGCATGTGCCCGCAGGGCCCCGCAGCTGGGCCCCACGCCTCCCTGACCCCGCATGCACGCCGCCGGGACAGCAGCCCCTCCGGAGCAGCCCCTCGCGGGCGCTGGGGCAGCCGCCTCAGCCAGGCCCCCCGCCAGGCCCCCAGGACAGACTCTAGTAGGCGGACAAGCAGCTGCCCCCGGCTCCTCCCACAGTCAAGCTGGGGGCTGAGCTGTGAAGACCTGCAGGGGCAGCCGTCAGGTGCAAGGGCCAGACAGGGGGCTGTCACGGGTCAAGGGACCGGGTTCTCCTCAGCCCAAGGAAGACCCAAAATATATAAAGACCTCTCACGACTCAACGACAAAGAAATTTAAGCAAAAATCGGACAAAGGAACAGAATAGACATTTCTCCAAAGAAGACACACCGATGTCCAGCAAGACCACGAGCAGACAGCACCTCACCAGTCACCAGAGGTGCACGCTCACGCCACCAGGACGGCCAGGGTAAAAACAGTGAAAATTCGTATCACCAGGAATAACAGTCGCCGGGGAGGACGTGGGGGCGCCGGGGCCCCTGAGCGCAGCACGCGGGAGTGTGGAACGGTGTCCCTGCTGCAGAAAACATTGTGGTGGTTCCCCCAGATATTAAACACAGAATTACCACATGACCCAGCAACTCCACCATAATGTGTACCCAAAAGAATTAAAAACATACGTCCACAAAGTCTGTACACCCATGTGCACAGCAGCATTACCCACAATAGCCAAAAGGTGGGAACAACCCCAATGTCAACGGAATGGATGAGAAAAACTGCATGTGTCCATCCCACTGAATATTTTCAGTCACAAAAAGGAACAAAGCACTGACACGCTACAACATGGGTGAATATTGAAAACGATATGCTCAGTGAAATAAGCCAGACACAAAAGGCCACATATCGTATGATTCCATTTCTATGAAACATCCAGAGCAGGCAAATCCAGAGACAGAAAGTGGATTAGTGGTTGCCAGGGGCTGGGGGTGGGGCAGTGGGATATGAGGTTTCTGGGATGATGAAAATATTCTGGAATTAGATAGGGTGCTGGCTGCACAGCCTTGCGGATGAACTAGAAACCACTGAACTGTTCGCTGTAACAGGGTGAATTTACAGTAACAAAGTCACATTTCAGTGACAGAAACAGCCTCCCTCCCATTGGGCCCCCCATTTGCAGCGGCCCGGAGCCCCTCAGCGGCCTTGCAGACCTGCTCTGGGTGCCCCGCACACTCCAATGCCCAGGCCTGACCAGGCTCGGGGGGAGCCCTCAGTGCCGCACCTGCGCCACCTCCTCCAGGCAGGCCGGCCGGGGGGCAGGGCCAGCCTGCAGCCTGGGGCACAGGGCCGGCACCGTGAGGTAGCCTCAGGACCCTCGCCACCCCAGCCTACTTCTTCTGAAGGATAGCCAGGTTGGAAGCCACAGGCCCCGCTCGCTCACCGGGGGCAGCCCTGCGATGGAGCTCTAGCGACACCCCCGTGGCCTCTGCGGGGGCTGCCTAAGCGGCACCTGGACCTCCAAGCAAAGGCCACAGAGTGACCCCAGAGCCAGGCACGGTTCCCAAAAAGCCCCACACCTGGCCCTGTGCAGGAAGTAGCAGGAACCTTGCCCCGGGGTCTGGAGAGTCCCTTTGGGACCAAGTCTCAGCACAGGCCTGAGGATACGGCCAGGAGAGGGGCCAGGCACTGGCGAGCGCCCCGCCTCCCCCCACCGACACCCAAGGCAGAGCAAAGCTCTCAGCCCACCCAGGTCCATGAGTCTGTATCCCCAACTCGCCAAGAACCCTAGGGCAGCCCTCCCGCTGGGAGCCACGCTCCCCCTCCTTCCAAGAGGGCCTCAGGCCAGCGGGTCCAGGCCCCCCAGCACAGGCATCTCTGCAGCCCACAGAGAACCAGATGGAAATGCCACCTGCTAATCATGCCAGAGAAGGACCAGGCCAGAGGGAAGAGAGGAGAGCCAGCGGGCGGCCTGGAGGGTCCTGCCTAGTGGCCAGAGGCCAGAGGAGGGCAGCAGGAGCAGGGCAGCGGACCGCGGGTTGAGTTGCAGCCTCACGGCGGGGGCAGGGAGGACGCCCGCCGCCCACGTGACCCTCCCCCAGGCCAGCCTCTCCGGGTTTCTGGGCTGTAACTGGAGCTGCCCTGACTGGGAGCCGCGAGCCTCGGTGCCAGGCAGAGATTTCAGAGAGGGGGAAGGGACAGGAGGGCTGGATCAGGTCCTTCCTCCTGCTCCCTCTGCCCTGGGCACCGAGTACAGAGGCCCCTGGACGCGGCCGGCCCTGCCTCCCTTGGGCCGTCTCCCCCTCCCTCTCCCTTCTGCCCCTTTGCTGGCCCAGGAGAAAGGCGACCCTGGCCCAGCAGGTCACCGTGGGACGGAGGCAGGGCCTCCACACACAGTGGCAGGAGCACGGGGCATGTCCCCCCAGGCCTGGCTCCACCTCCGCAGCCAACCCTGTCCTGAAACGGCCCTGCGGGGTGCGCTGCGTGCAGACCCCCCACACCTGCCCCTCCCCCCCCCGTCTGTCCCCCCCCCCCAGCACTGGGCTGGCCGCCGTTGCCCCCAGGCCTGCCCCGCAGAGCCCTGACTCTTGCCTGGTGCGGGGCGGGGGGGCAGGGGGGCAGTGACTCCAGCAGAGCCAGCTGTCACCGGGGCGGCACATCTGCCTCCAAGCTCCCCCGGACCCTCACTGGGTGGGGGCTCTGGGGCCAAAAGCAGAACCAAGCGGGCTGGCTGGAGGAGCCATGGGGCACTGAGCCGGGCCCACGTGCCACATGCCCGCTAGCACTCTTCCCTGAGAAGCAGTCAAAGTACACACACGAACAGCTCGAAGACCCCTGAGGTGCGCAATGCGGGGAAAGTGGGGGAAGAGAGGTGCTGCAAGGGCGGGGGGAGGGCTGGGAGCCAAGACCCCAGCCTGCCCCGGAACCGATCTCCCCTGGCCGGAGCGGGGCAGCAGCCGGCTCCCAGCAGAGTGCAGCCGGGGCAGACAAACCAGGGGTGTGTCCGGAGCTTGGTGAACAGACCTGCGGCTGGGCCAGGACAGCAAGAAGGCACAGCTGGCTGACAAGCCGGTGTGACTCACCCGTGGACGGCCATCCTCTGACCCTCCCTCTGCCCATGAGGGCGAGGTGAAGGCTGCACAGATGGCGTGCAGGGGCGTGCCAGCCTCCAAACAGCCTGGGCCCCAGTCAGGGCCAGGCCCACGGGCAGCCAGGAGAGGGCCTTGGGGTGGGGGCTCCAGGTAAGGAGACACGGAGCTGACCCTGGAAGACAACCCAGGAGAAAGGAACAGAAGGAGAAAGGGGAGGGGGAGATAAACACAAAGGAAAAGTTTCCCATGAAAATATTTTATTTTCTTTGAGAACAGGATACACCTGCAGGGCTCCTCGCCCAGTCGGCCTCTCCCTGCCCTGGCGGTGCCACATTTCTGGACCAACAGGGCCCTCTGCCGGCCAGGCCGCTGCCCGCCGGCGCGGGGGCCAGGGGCTAGGGAACAGGTGAAGGGCGGAGGGCGGAGGGCAGCGGCCCAGAGCGGCAGAAGGGCGCCTCAGACAGGGGTCGGGGAGAAAGAGTGGGCATGGCCTCAGGGTCGGCGTGGGGTGGGAAGCGGGGAGGCCGAGGAGAGCCAGAAGGCGGCCTGAATGGTGCCACCCCAAACTCCAGCGTGCCCATATGCGTATCGCATCGAGGGTCTCCAAAGGTCGCTAGGTTGGATATCCCAGACCTGGGAGTGAGGGGAGAGCCAGGGGAGGGAGGAACGGCGGAGAGGGACGCGCCAAAACCACGCACACTGCTGCTGCGGAGAAGCGCACGGGGCAGCGACCCCCGAGACGGCGGGCGGCGGCGTTCCCGGCCCCGCCGGGCCCTGCGCTCCGGCCGGGTCCCACAGACGCGCTCCCGAGAGCCGGGGCCCGAGTGAGCGTCAGAAGCAAAGCGCAAGAAAAATAAATTCCTCCGGCTTGGAGTTATTTTTTTTTCCTTTGGGGCTCAGTGCAAGGAACATCTGGATTTTGTACGTATTTTTTTGTTGTTGTTAAATTAACTTCTCGAGGAGAGAAAGGAGGGGGAAGCTGCAAGGGGGGTGGGTGGGCAGGGGCTGGGAGGCTCCAGCCGTTTGGCAAGAACTCGGCGGCCTAAGGGAGCAGGGACCACACCTTGGTCCCCGAGCTCCAGGGAGCCCAGCGTTCGGCTGCGGCCGCGGCAACGACGACTCCGGAGTCACAGAGGACAGCGGCCCCACGCCAGCCCGTCGGGTACGCGGGCCCCTCTCCCCCGCGCCCCGCAGAGGGACACGGACTCGCGGACCCAGCGACGCGCGCGCCGCAAACAAATAGCTCCAGGCAACCCGGCGGCCCCCGCCAGTCCGGCCCGGCGCACCTGGTGGCCCCCGCCCCCGCGCCGCCCCCGCCCCGGGCCTGCCCGCCAGTCCCCCCGCCCGCCGGGCCGCCAGGCACCTACCCGAAGTAGGCGGCCGAGGGGCGCAGCGCGGCAAGTAGCAGCGTCAGCGCGAAGGCCACGGCCAGCCAGCGCGCCAGCAGGGGCCCATCCAGCATCTTGCCGCGCCACGGCGGCTGACCATCGCGCTCCTGGCCCCGCGCAGGGCGCCCCGCGGCCGCCGCCCTCTTATAGCGCCCGGAGCGCCAGGCCGGGGGCGGGGCCGCCAGCTGGGCCCGGCCCGCCCCGCCCGGGGAGGGGTCACGCCGGCGCCGGGGGCGGGCCGAAACCCGAGCCAGCCCGCCCGCCGCGCTGCCTCTCGGCCCCGCGGGCCTCGGGGCGCGTCCCGCGCTTGGGCAGGGGAGGCGAGCGAGGGGCGGCGGGACCTTGGGGACCGGCGGGAGGGGCGGGAGGGGCGGCAGGGGCGGGGGCGCGCAGCGGGCCGAGGAAGGGAACGCGCTCCCGGGCGGCCGTGGAGGCGGAGCCTGGGCGGAGCGTGGGCGGCCCCGGGACTGGACGGCGGTGGGGGCGGGGCGGGCCCTGGGTGGAAGCCGGGCGGCCGGCGGGGTAGGAGCCGGGGGCGGGAGCGTCGGGGCAGCTGCGGGGAGAAGTCTGGGCAGCGGCGGTGACAGGGTGGGCCGAAGGGGCCCGGGGTGGAGCTCGAGGCCGGGTCGCCGGGACTGGTGCTGCTGGGGACCTGGTGTCAGCCCGAGCTGAACTGCGCCCGTCCGCTCCCCGGGGACTGTGGAGGAAAGGGAGCCGGGACAGCAGGTGATGTCCGCGCCCTTGGCGAAACCTGACCGCTCTGGAAAGGAGGGGCGGAGTTTGGGGGCGCTGCTCCCTGGTCTGTTGGCCTGGGAATGAGGCGACCTGGCCAGCCCAGGGCCTGGCCGAGGAGCTCAAGCTTTTGGGACCTCTGTCTCCCCCTCCTGAACTAGAAGATGAGGTAGCTAGCGACTGAGGTCACAACCACTGCTGATCTTCCGGCGACCCCTTTCTCGGAGCCTCTGTAGAGAGGAGACGGGAGAGAGGGGGCTCCAGAGGACGCGGAGGCTTGGAGTGGACAGAGGCAGCAAGCAGAGGAGGTGGAGCCGCTTCTGAAGCCCATAATGTCAGAGACCCCAAAACCTAAACTAAAACGGTTACAAATGAGCAGACACGGGAGGGGGTGTGGCCTCAAAGAGAACCTTTACGAGCGGAGCCGCCGGGCCGGCCGGGGTTCTGCTGTCAGCAGCCACGTGGGGGAGGGCAGCATGGCTCCGAGTCCCGCTGGGCTGCGCTGGACGCCCACACAGTGTTGGCGGCCTTTCGATGACTCTGACGGCCCGTGGGCTGACCAGGCCGCCCTGGGAGGGGCCTGGAGACTGGGTCAGCTTGGCCGAGTGCAGCTCCCTGGCAGGGACCGGAACGTGGAGGACCGGCTTTCCTGCCCTGGGCCCTCTGTCCTGGGCCCTGGGAGCCCACCCTGGGTGGCCTGTCTCCGGACAGTGCTGAGAGGCGGGGCAGGGGGTCGGGAAGTGCACTCCCACAGTGGCCCTGGTGCAGGACACGGACCGGCTCCTGCGGCTCCGGGAAGGCCGCCCCGATGCGCAGGCCTCCTCCTCCTGGGAGCCCCTGCTGCGGGGCTGGGTGAGGGTGTGCAGGAGGAGCTGGGCCCGGGCACACCCCTTGCTCTCTGGGCCTGTTTCCCCATCGGAGACTCATCAACCCCTACAGAGCCGTGGCCCTTTGTGAGCTGCGGTGCCATGTGGTGGAAGCCCCACCACGGCTCTGTCTCTTCGTGGGTGTGACAGCCTCCTGTCCTTCCGTACTCCAGGGACCCTTGCCTACTTGGTCGCCCCCCAGCAAGCAGGCTGGCCCAGCAGAGAGCACTGCAGCCCACCCAGGCTGCAGGACTGGGGCGCCCTGCCCTCCCCTGCACAGTGGGGAGCAGCCCCAGCACCGCCACCTGAGGGCCTGGCCCCACACCCGGGAAACGTGAGGTGTGGCGTGGGGGGCACAGAGTGATGACATGTTTAAAGGCACTGAGGTTTCGTCCAAGAAAAATGAAGTGTGAGGTTGTGAATGTGTGTCTGGAAGGCACTGCCAGCATCACAGGCTCCCTTCCGTGGGAGCTCGGGGTTCTCATTAGCCACCCCCACTGCACCGCCCCCCCGCACGTGTGAGGAGGGAGGCAGCCGCCTGAGGCCCAGCCGGGGACCCACGGGCAGCAGCCCGCACAAGGCGGCTGCAGAGGAGACAGGCGCCTCCCGTGCAGTCCGGCCGGAGAAGGCCCCACGGTCCTGTCAGCCCAGCCAGCCCTGAGCAGCCCCACCGAACCCCGTTTGAAATGCTGGGTGTCGGGGGGAGGGGAGGGGACAAGGCCTACAGAACAACCAGCCTTTACCAGGCCACGTGATAGGGGCAGTGCCCGGTGCGGGTGCTGCGGCACATTGGGGATTCACCTGGCTTCCGGGAGGGGCCGCCCTGCCCCTGCGCCTGGGGAGATGGCGGCAGACGGAGATGCCACCGCCACCTACCCCCACCCGAGCTGGACTTGGGGCACAGGCTCCCCTGTCCCAGGCAGCGTGAGGCAGCCAGGCCTCGAACCCCCCGCCCCTTCAGGCCTGGCTGTCTTGCCCTGTCCCTGCCTCCATTTCCACCTCCCCCATAATCGTGGGGCCTTCCTAAATTGCAGGGAGAGCCAAGACAGCCGTCGAGGTACCTGTGGAGTCCAGCCCTCTCAAGAGGGGACCTGGGTGCTCCCACCTCTGTGCCTGCAGCTCCCGCCTCCCCCTCACACACCGGCCAGTCCGCCTGTGCTCACTCTGGTCACCGGTAACACCTCCCCTGGCAACTCCACTTCTGAAAGTAAACTCACAGGGAGCAGCTGTTGGTAGAGCAGCACCTGCGCAGTTGAGCCTGCGTGGTCAACTGAGGCCCAGAGAACTCCTGCTGAAGGGCACAGGGCAAGCTGGGAACAAACCCCTGAGCCCAACCTCCTGCTTGCCCAGCTCGAGTCACCTCACAGACCATCTTGCTGGCCTTGGGCACAGTGTGAGGAGCAGTGTTATCCCAGAAGGCAAACCTCTCACCCAGAGTGGCGTGCTCTGGCCAATGGCCAAGGGGTCCTGTGCTGAAGCCAGCTTTGGGCTTCCTTCATCCCCAAGGCCGCCAGACCTGCCTGGCACAGCTAGTTGGCCAGGAGAGGTCACCCAGAGACGGGCAGCACAAACTGTCACTGGTCCAGGGACTCAGCTTCCCTGTGCGGACCAAGGCAGACCGGGAGTAGTCCAGGCGGGGCTGCGGCTGTCTCCGCCCTGCTCGCTTTCCGAACCAACAAGAGCGTTAGAACGTGCACAGCCCCAGGAGGGCCGCGTGGCTCCGGGGAAGGGCTGTGTGCTGTGAGGCAGAGCCCGCTCCGGGAGGGAAAGCACCGAGGCAGCAAGCCGCGAACGCTCACCGGACGGGGTGCTTCTGCAGACGCCCAGCTTCACGGGCCCTCGGCCTGTGAATGGCTGGGGCCAGCACGGCAACAGGTCTTGAGCATGCCGACGGAGGGAGGGGACCCAGCCGTGCAGGCGGCCACCAAGGCCTCACCAAACAGCAACCTCCTGGGAAGTCGGGGTGACCACCGTGACCTCAGGCTGGGCGAGGCCACGTCACCCAGCATACTCATGGCCCCATCTGGATTGGTGAGGAGGCCTCACCTGCCCATCAGAGACCGCCTCAGTCCCCTCCTCCCTGCGCCAGAGATAGAGACAGAGGGAGACAGGAGGAGGAGACAGGACAGGAGGCGTGCCCTCACAGTTGGCTGGGGAGGCCGAGTCGCCAGGCTGCTGCCTGGGAGGGGGGCAGTTCTCTCGGGTGGTCTGGGAGAGTGGGTGAACAGCCGCTTATCAGGAAGCATTGCCTAATTGGGGCGGTTTATGGGGCCAGGCAGGGGGTCTCCCTGGGGGAGACAGCAAAAGCCACTCATGAGTCATTTGAAACTGAGCCGGACAAAGAGCTCAAGGAGAAATGATCCCACCCAGCCTGCCAGTCGTGGGCAGAATGAGCTCATGGGCTGTGGAGCGTGCGTGCATGTGTGCATGTGTGTGTGGTGTGTGGCAGGGCGGGGTGGGGAAGGGGGGAGAACACTGTGCTAACACAGCTGGGACTGGGAAGCAGAGCTCAGCAGTGCCTTCACTGTCGCCTTTTCCCTGCATGGCCAGGCTGCCCCCTGCAGGTTGGCAAAGGGAGGGCCCCACCTCAAGTCCAGCACCCCTCTCCAGCGTCCAGGCCGGCACCCTCATCCAGCGCTCAGCCCAGCCTCCAGCTCTGCATCCTGGCCCAGCATGCACACACCCTGCAGGCAGCACTCAGCACAGGGACAGATGCCAAATAGATGTGGAGCTGCTTCTTCATGGTGGGACACCATCTGTTCATACCCCCTTGTCCCCTGTGAGATATGTATTGGAGGCCTCGGTGTATAATACTCATTTTTAATGGGTTCAAATATTTTAAAACCTTGTTTTGATTGAACTGTAGATTCGTGTGCAATTGTAAAAAAAAAAATAACAGAGAGAGCCCTTGTAACCTTTCCTCACTTCCCCCAAAGGTATTATCTTGCAAAACCTTAAGACAATATGCCAGGAAGCTGACGTCGACATAATCCATCGACCTCACTACATGCACTCATCTGTGTGCACATGTGTTTAGCTCTGTGCCCTTTGATCACACATGGAGGTTCATCTGTCTACCACCACAGTCATACCGAACATCTCCCTCAGCAGGGGACCCTCGAAATGCCCCCCACCTCCTGGCACATGCTGACCTGCTATCGCTTGTGTGTTCAAAAATGCTATAGACAGGGAACCATACAGCATGTCACCTTTTGGGACTGGCTTTTGCACTGAGCATGATTCCCTGGAGAGTCGCCCAGGTTGTCTATAGTACCCGCAGCCTTGTTCATTGCTGCACAGGAACTCACTGCATGGATGTCTCCCAATCTGTTTAACCAGTTCCTGTTGAAAAACGTGTGAGCTGTGTCCAGTTTTTAGCTACTACAAACAAAACTACTGTAAACATGTGTGTGCAGGCTTTTGCACATTTGTGTGTAGGTTTTGTTTCCCGGGAACTAATGCCCAGGAGGGCAATATCTGGGTAACATGGCGTTTGCATGTTTAATTTTGTAAGAAACCGCCAGACTGTGTCCAGAGGGCTGACCACTGGTCCCCA